TGACGTGGCTGGAAACTACTGACCTTAAATTCTACAGGATAAAGAAATGTCTCTCTTTACATTAGGTCAAAGAAGTATTTAAGGCATCACCTTTCCTTGTTGGGGAAGACTGTGTTTCCATCATGAACGGAACAGACGAAGGTAGAGTTGCTGTGCTCCTGTGCAGGGAACCAGATTTTGTGCAGGGCTGCTGTCAGAATGTTGTGGGGGGCTCTCTTGCCACTCACATTCATGAGTGAGTAGTCATTGAAGTCATGGTTCACAATTTAAGTTTCCCAGGGGGTCTTTTTGGGGCCAGTGTCAGAGACAGATTCTCATCTTGACCAACTTTGAACCTGGCACAAGTGATGTTTCTGAAAACATGTCTTCAGTTTTAAGAACATTTGGAGAGAATCCCCAGTTGCTGCCACATTTAGAATGTTGCTGTTGCATTGTTAATTCTAAGAGAGTTACCCTGATTCTAAAGACGACTTTGAGTGAGTTCGTATCGGGGGAAAGGAGGGGGAAAACTGGGTTCTTTTCCCGCCTCTTTCAGAAGAGGACGCTGGTGATGAAGAACCTCAGGGAGAGACATGCCATTTGGTAGAGTATTCTAGGTTTTAGTATGGTGTCTTGTGGGACAGTCCGCCAGAAGCTGCTGGATTAGTTTATGAGGAAGCCTCCTCTCTGTGCGTGGTCTGAAGGCAGAGAGTAGTAAGGAAGTGGTCACTGTGCTCCCAAAATCTGGAAGAGTCATATAGTGGTCCTCTCGAGTGATTAAAATGCTGTCTGTGACACTCTTGTAGGTGTTTCGGCCTGGATCACCATCAACTTTCTAACAGGTGCGTGTCTACTGCATCATGAATGCTAACAGTTCACAGATGGCTGCAAAGGAGGGCTCGGCAGGGCTTTCTTAGGATCAGTGCCCGCTTCCACTCTTTAGGGTAACTCCTTAGAGTTCCACAGTGTTGCTGGCCCGAAGTAGGGTATTGGGATGGATGGAGTGCCCTCCTGGGCTCGCGGTGTGCATGCTAGGAGGGGCTTTTCTCCCAGCAGAGCCCCCACCCTGTCTCCTGCAGAATGTCCATTAGGGGCCTAGTCCTCAACATTTCTGAGAGATGTAATGAATAAAACCGGTCATGCCGTCAAATGTGTGGTGCATGCTAATCACCTTATAATTGTATTCCTCTGCTTTAGGTAGAATAGAGAACAAAAACATCTGTTTTTAGAAACAGGTGCCAAGGAGTCATTTTTCTTAGATTAATCTTAATGCATGTGGATTTTTGTCACATTACTGGAATTATGGAAAAGAGCAGTGTGTCTAATGTGTGTATGAAAAAGAAAAGTTTCATGGCAGGATTTTCCCCATTTGGGGATAGAGGGAGATGTTAAGGGATAGGTGGGGACCCTCCACCTCAGATGCTTTGGGGAGCACAGACTTAGACAGAGATGGGGCTGATTAGAGAAGGGCCTCACAGGGATGGTGTAGCAGCATCAAAGAATTTAGTGTGTCTCGAGAGTGAGCCGGTGGCCCCTTCCCAGCAGGAAGATCCCACCTTTCTCCTGAAGGTCAATTCTGTCCCGTCATTCAGACTGAAGCTGCAGCTGATAGAGCCCGTAATCTTGTCCTCTAAACATAGTGCCCCTGTACATAGAAATTTTTAACTAGCTGCAGCTCCTTCTCTAACTTGCTTTTCTTTCCTCTAAAAGGTCTGGCTTGTAACCTCTACATTTCTGCTGCTCTCATCTACTTACTAACACAACACTGCTGTGTTTTGACTTGCTGCACTCCAGGCAGTTTGAAAGCCCCGGGAAGGAGCAGTGTGGGCATGCTGGATTTGGGCGGAGGATCCACTCAGATCACCTTCCTTCCGAGGGTTGAGGTAACCAGCCCCTGCCTACCGCGGTGCCCTCCCTGCCTCCAAGGCCCACCGCCCATGGGGGAGGAGGGAGGACCTGCTGGGGGTACGCCGTGGTGGGGGAGCTGCAGCCAGGCCCACAGCGCCCAGACCTCCGAGCCTCTGAGTTGTTTCGGCCTGTGAGAGCCAGAGCCATCCACAGACAGGGCTTCTTACTTGGATTTTAACTCTGCCTGGGAAAACAAAAACAGAAATTTGGTCTTTAGTGGGTGATGAATTAGACAATGACGGCCTCTGGGCCAGAGAACATGAAGCTGTCCCTCCACTCCCCCTCGGGTTCCGGGTCAGGAGCAAGAGCAGCAGCGTTCGCAGAGCTTCAGCCTTTTCCAGACGGGTGTTCTCAAGGGGCCAGACGTGCTTCCAGCGAGGACCACCTGCTGCTTTCAGGATAGTGCCCTCCTCTCCCACCTGTTTCCCTTTCTTATTATTTTTAGTTTTCAGTGGAATAGAGCACTTAGGTTGACTGATATTGCAGTTGTCTTGGTTGGGCCACATTTGTCAGAATGGGTGGAACGTTACTCACAAGAGGGAAATGTCATTTTCCATCCTGGATGTCTTATTTTTTGTTGCTTAATTCACGTTCTTTCACAGCACTTGACTTCCTGGAAATCTCGTTTAGTTGACTACATCTGAATATCCCTATTCTTTCAAGTGAATTGAGGGAGTGAGGGAAAATTTTCTAGAAAGACCAGCAGGAAACATAGTGACGCCTCTGTTCCTCCTCAGAGCACTCTGCAGACCTCCCCGCCCGGCTACCTGACGGCGCTGCATATGTTTAACAAGACCTATCAGCTCTACTCCTACAGGTTGGCTTTCGGGAGTCTGGGTGGGGGCCCCATCCAGGCACGCAGCTCTGCTGGTGTTGCACAGCCCCTCGAGCGCCTCGTGGAGTGACCGGATCCTGGTCACAGACCTCACATCCTGGTGTCCCCATACTGTGCATCTACCTGGACCTTCCCCCATCCTGTCTCGCCCTGCTCCTCCTTCCTCCTCCTCCATTTTAAAATTTTTCTACAGTAAAATTTCATTTCTTCTTTAGCACTTGTCTGTCCTGCTTTGGAGGAGGTTTGAGAAAGAGGAGGAGGAGCCCGTGGACTATGCAGGAATTTTCTGGGCCACCTATTTGCCACATGGCACCTTCATTAGATTCTTTTGGTAAAGCATGTGTATGTCATAAAAACTGAGGTTGAATCTGTCGTCTTCACCACAATGTCTGCAGCTGCTAGATGAGCTGCTGCCACATAATTGGCCCTCATTCGCTGATTTAATTAGTTGAATGCCCTAGACTCTACAGAAAGGGGCTTCTAGAAGAAGTGGAAAATCCCGCTACCTGCTGTACCACAAGGTCCCCCCCTCCCGCTCGTGTTGGGTCCGGGCGGGGAGCTGCTGCGCCTGTACCTCCCATGGTGGCCCGCCTCACCCACGATGCCATTTCCACAGCTACCTGGGGCTCGGACTGATGTCGGCGCGGCTGGTGATCTTGGGCGGCATGGAGGGAAAGCCTGGTGAGTGGCACTCTGTCCCAGGCCTGCTCATGAAGTCGTGGCCTCCATTCTCTGGGAGAACGAGGAGCCCTTCAGGAGGCAGCTGCGGGTCCTGGGGGAAAACTTTCCTGCTGCTCTCCCCACCCACAGTCACCACAGCATGCTGGCCACCGGCCAGGGTGGGAGACTGCTGCTAGCCTGGGAGGGACGTGCCCCAGCTCTTGTGCTGGCACCCCGATGGGGACCAAGGGTAATGTGTTATACCTGCATGCCTTCTAAGTTTTTTTTTAAAAAAAGAGGTGCTAGTGAAATCATTTCTGAAACACTGAGCTAGAGGGTTTTAGGAACCCAAATAAATGTAGAGTCATCACCTTTTTCTTCAGACAGTGTGAGGGGCCATGAGGAGGTGATGTGGGGGCTGCTGCCATCAGGGGACAGTTTTTCTCTCTTGTTCACAGCAATTCCAGCTTTGTGAGAACACCCCTCTGTCATCTCTTGCTCTGTGAAGCTTCATAAAAAACAGTCTTGGCCCTTCCTTCCAGACACAGTGTTTGACTGGAGACAGAGGCTGTGTCTAGCCAGGTTATCAGAAGGGAGGTCTCGTCCCAGGCCTTCTCTGCTTCTCCCTGCTGGGCCTTGCAGCAGTGCTCAGGGACTCTTAGGAGATCTTAGGGATCACCGCTCCGGGGGCAGGGGCACTGCCCTGGCACTGGCATCAGCCTGTCTTCCCTGACGGTGCAGATCAGGGCCACTGAGGACTTAACTGAGGCCCTAGCATCCAGGTGTGCACGTGAGGCACACGCCCCTCCCTGCTCCGCCTGCCACACCACTGGCCCAGCTCTGCTCCCCACCTATTCCGATGGCCTGGTTGTTCAGCACTGTGGGGATGTTCAGCTGGGATTTTCATTTTTCCATGCACATTCTGTTTCCATTCTTTCTTTAAGATCCTTGTGTTTATCCTCATAACGGTATCCACTTTGTTGCAAACCAAACATGTGCCTGCATCTCAGAAACACTTGCAGCCCTCACTCTGTGGCCAGAAAACACCCACTTAGCCAATGACAGGAAGGCCGGCAGCAGTTGCCCCTGTGCGGCTCGCTGTGGCGCTGTGGCTCCACCTTCTGTGTCGTCTTCTCACTCATCAGAGCAGCAGGACGGTCTCGTGGCTCTCAGCAGGCCACACAAAGTGCCCGTTTTGGATACTTTGGGGCTGGGACACCAGCCAAGAGGATGAGTCTGTTTTGTTACTAGAACACCTCCAGACCAAGTGGTAAGACAGAGACAGCAGTCATCCTGGCGTATCCCGTGTGGCTGAGGCAGGGGCGGCTGGGCTGGCTGTGCCTCTGTGTTCCTCCACGTGGCCTCCCCCAGCAGCGGTGCCTAGGCTGCCTATGGGGCAGCTCCGGGAAGGCGCGCCACCCTGACATCACACACCGGCACTTCCTGTCCTTTCCTTTGGCAAAAGTAGACCCAGGCCAGAATCCAGAGGTGGGGACAGGATCCTCTCCTCAGTGGGAGAGTAGCCGTCCTCAACGGGGGTGCCATGGGGTCCAGCCCAGAAGACCACCAGCTTTTGTGTGGTGGAGCAGTGTAGGTTCAGTTCATAGCATGGTGGCAACTGGTGGCACTCGTCCTGTCCCTGGCAGTACCTGCCAGTTACAGCCTCAGTCATCTATAAAAGCGGTCGTGATGATCGCCTCGCAGTAGGGTCGTTGTGACAATCAGCTGAACGGTGCTTGGCGACATGTGCTCCCTGGTCAGATGCTGCAGTGCCTTGGTCAGCAGCTAGCATGCTCCTCTGCAGGCCTCGCCTCTGCACGTCCTCATGCGACAGCTCCATGCGGGCCTCTGTCTCACAGTGCCATGTGCTTTTCTTTTTCTTTCTTTTTTTGTCTTTTTATTTCAGCTAAGGATGGAAAGGAGTTGGTCAGCCCTTGTTTGTCTCCAGGTTTCAAAGGAGAGTGGGAGCATGCTGAGATAACATACAGAATTTCAGGACAGAAGGCAGGTACGGTGGGTTTGGTGTTCATCAGTGCCTTATATGGGTAAGAACAGCCACCCTGGACCTTTTCCAAACCCCTCTGAGAAGCAGGCGAGCCCGTGCTTGCCCTGCAAATGGATGTGGCTCTGAGAACCCCCATCAGGGCTCCAGGAGGCCTTGGCCAGAGTGCGCTGGAAACCACAGCTGCCTCCCGCAGGGCCTCCACACAAGGCTCCCTTGTCTGTCGCCAAACAGTTCCTTCCAAAGGGCTGAATTTCCCCACAAGCCTGCTATGGGGAAGGACCTGAATACCTTGGGGCTCTGAGGCAAATGGCCATGTCTGGGCTGTTGCCCTAGTGCTGTGCTGAGCCAGTCTTGTGACTAGAGGGAGAAATCGAGGCTTCTCCTTTGGCAGAGTCTGCTTCCCACCTGCTCTGCTCGGGGCATGCAGCCCAGTGTAGTGGGCCTCACCAGACGCGGCCCGTTTGCACTGGGTGGTCTGTGTTGCTCTGTGCGCTGTTAGTTTCTCCTGAGAGAAGTATCGAAATGCAGTCCCAGGCTCGGCACACAGGCAGGAGGTGTGTCCGCCTCTGGTGATACACAGGTCCCTCTGACTCTGTCGTCCATCCGTGCACTTGCCGCGGGCCAGGCACCCCTGCAGGCCCAGGTGCACCAGGGCAGCACAGCTGGCGATCCTGGAAGAGTTAGGCAGGGCGACAGGTGAGAAAGTGCTCTGCTCTGAAGAAAAGTAAATGGGGGTTGCCAAGAGGGAGACTGCAGTTTTAACTAGGACAGCCAAGGAAGGCCTCATGAGGTGACATTTTAGGCAAGACATGAAGAGGTGGGCACTGAGATGCGCAGATCTAAGGTAGCAACTCTCCTGGCCGGGGAAGCAGTGTGTGCAAGGGCCCAGAGGCAGCTGCTGTGTTTCATGAACAAGGGAGGGAAGGACGTGTGGCTGGTCCAAGGAGGGCCAGTGGGAGGAAGTGAGGGCCTAAGGGCAAGGACCTGGCCCTGTAGACCACAGAAACACTGGGAAGCACTCAGAAGGATGGGATACAGGTGGGGAAGGACTTGGGGAAGATGGGAGGCCGGATTGATGTGTGGGGCATTCAAGTGCCCATTGCACATCCACACCAGCCCATTAACCTTTGTAGTTGATTAACCTCTAGAGCCCTGTGTTTCTGTCTTCCTCTGCCCAGCATGTGAGCTTGCTTGCAAGTGGCCCACTGGGCCTCAGTTTCCTCCTCTGACATAGGTTGGGTACAGGTCCTCTCTGAGGCGGCTGAGGAGGTGAGGATGCTCTGTGCAGGGCTGGCAGGGGTGAGTGTGGGGTGGACGGAGCCCACAGGCTAGGCCAGGACAGCTGTGCAGGCCCCAGCTGAATGCCAGCTGGTATCAGGGTTCACTGACCTCCCTGTTCAGAGTCGGGGCCACATTCTCTCCAGCCACCTTCACACTCAGGGCCTGGACCTGTGGGGCCACCCAACTTGGGTGGGGGCTTCTGGTCCCAACTCACACTTCCAGTTCAGGTCAGGGTCTCAAGTCACTGGGGAAGGGCCCCCAAGGGGCTACTTGGCCTGGCCGCTCAGAGTGCGCTGACCGCTGGCTTTGTGCTTTTCCCCAGCAGCGGGCCTCCACGAGCTGTGTGCTGGCAGAGTGACAGAGGTCCTTCAGCATAAAGTGCACAGGACGGAAGAAGTGAAGCACGGGGACTTTTATGCTTTTTCCTACTATTATGACCTTGCAGCCAGTGTCGGCCTTATAGGTAAGGGTGGGCCTGGTGTGGGTCCCCTGGGCGAGGCCTGTGGTGGGCAAGTGACTGTGTGGTCATGCCACCAGGACAGAAGTGGACTCAGGAGGGCAGCATCAAGGGGAGGAGTCTTGTCATCAGAGCAGGAAGTAGTAAGCCCTCTCTGCATAGATAAACTAGTTGTTTGAGTCATTTAGTAAAATCACATCTTCAATGCATGGACAGTTACTTGCTGTTAATTTAGGCTCTTGCTCGAAGGCCACTGTCATATGGTTGGTTCCTGCGCAGCATGCGGCTCTGACTCAGGGCCTCTCTGTGACACGTGGCAGCTGCTCCTCTAGGAGGGGTCAGCCCATTTCACGTGGAGTCTCCCTCCGACTCATCCTCCACAGCCCAAGGAGCCAAATCACGGTCAGAAAAAGGTATTTGGGGTTTGCCAAAGCTGGTGGTGGTCAGACGGTGCAGAGACTCTTGAGAGGCTTGCAAAGTTTTAGTGGATTGTGACCAGAGGTTTTATTGAAATAAACTGAGAATATCAGAATGCATTGCCCGTGGTGAGGGTAAGAACACTTAATGTTTAAAACAAAAAGCCACCCAGAAGGAATTGATGATGCCGTGGCTCCGGCACCTTGGGTCCCACAGCCTGCTGCAGCACCTCTGCCTGACTGTGCTGCTGCCTATGGGGCTGCGTGTGCAAGGTGGGGTGGTTGGCGGGCGGGGGCAGGGGGGCAACTCAGCAAGCCACTCCCACTTTTTTACAGAACTTTTTTTCCCACATTTTCAAAATTGATACTAATTCGAATTCTGTGTCAGAGCTCAGTGCCATGGCTTCAGGAAATGTTTCCACTTGTGTACTTTTGTTTTGCTTAATATTAAGAGTTTGCTCAATCTGTGGGTTCCAGGGATCCTGGTGAGCTTTCTCTGGGAGACCCTCTAAGGCACCCTTTGCTGTGTGTGGTACTGTATGGAACACCTGCCTGCCCCAGGCCATGCCTCAGAAACCACGATAATCAGACACATCTGCCTGCAGTTGGAGGGCCTGCCACCTCTCAGTGCCAGGATTTCCTGGTCAGGGTCCCCAGGCACTGGCCTCAGGCCTCGGTGGCATCACATGCTCCTGCAGACTGGGCCTCTCATCTTGTCCCACAGATGCAGAGAAAGGAGGCAGCCTTGTGGTCGAAGACTTTGAGATCGCGGCCAAGTACGGTGAGTAACGCTATTTCCGTAGATGAGAAGGGCTGAGGGGGTAGAGAGGTAGAAGCCTCTCATCTGGGGACCAGGCACTGGCCCCAGAATTCCTGGGTTTGGTTCCTGATTCTGTCAACCGGACAGCCCTGGGGGTGGGTGAGTGCAGACTTCAACGTGCACTCAGGGTCGTTGTAGACCACACCCCAGGTCCACCCCTCGTAGCACGGCTACAGGCAGGGGCCTCGTTGTCCCCAGGTGTGAAAGGGCCTTTGTCCCAGTCCCTCCAGCAAGGACTATAAAGAACGGGCTCCCTCAATTTCGTTTCTTCTGACTCTTTTCACTGCTACCCGGGTAACCCCAAGTGTTAGTTTCTTTGGGATGTCCCAGTAAGTTCACTACTGCCACAGGACCCTGAAGAAGTCAGGAGCCTGCACAGCGGAGCCCAGGATGTGGGGGTGAAGGGCTGCCCCCCAGTGTCGCAGGTGGTTCACCCGGCGACCCACAGGCACCCTCCTCATCCCACCACCTTCACATCCACCCCAGCAGCTGGGGGACAAGCGTGGGTGAAGTCTTGGTGTAAATATTCTGCTCTTTGCTGCTGGTTCCCAATTTGCAAATTAAAAGTGTTAAACTTTTTGTATATCTCCATAAGAAGTCCTCCCTTCACCCCAAAAAAGTAGTTTTTTTTTTTTTTTTTTAGCTTTCATGTCACTTCTGGGTTTGTCTCCATGGACACTGGGTATCTGTGACTGTTGAGTGGAAAAGGTTCGAAGCAGAATCAGTCCCAAGAAGGCTCTTGGTGGCTTCATCCATCTTCCCCAAGAGCAGGAGTGGGTTGTGCTGAGCTGGCTTTGGTGTCATTTTCATTCCCCAGAAAGCACGGGGAGAGGTGTCCAGGGCCAGAGGTGCAGAGGTGTGGCTTGGGAGATAGTGACCTTCTGCCCATGACCCCCCAACGAGACATGCAGGTCCCTTCCTGGTGCTGGAACCCAGGCCTGGTGGAGACTGGGGCCAGCCTTGCAACGCACATTTGGGTGCCTTGGGCACAGTACCTCCCTGTGCTGCACTGCAGCCTTGTCGATGATCAGGCATGAGGAGCTGAGGGGACGCCTGGAGTGGGTCGAGTCGGGGTCTTCCCCCTCCCCTACCCTAGGGAGTGAATCTTCTGGGACCTGATTGGGAGCTGGCACCCCCCTCTCCCCCCAGTGTGTCGCACCCTGGAGACCCAGCCGCAGAGCAGCCCCTTTGCATGCATGGACCTCACCTATGTCAGCTTGCTGCTTCAAGAGCTTGGCTTTCCCAGGAACAAAGTGCTGAAGGTAAGGACTCATCCCTGGGGCACCCCTGTCCCCCAGCCCGTCCCTGGCTTCCAAAGAGCCATGCCTGTCCTCAGACACCCACCCGGCGTGTCCTGTCTCAGGTGTGTGATGGTCCCCTCTGCCCTCCGTTTGTCTTTTCAAGCTGACTCAGAAAATTGACAATGTTGAGACCAGCTGGGCCCTGGGGGCCATCTTCCATTACATCGACTCCCTGAGCAGGTGGAAGAATACAGCCACATAGCAGCCAGGCTGCCTGTCCCTGCCCCTGGTGGACCCCTTCCATCCTGGACGTGATTTCAACCCTGAGTAACCACAGCGAGAGCCGTGACCCCTCCCTGCGGCCTGCGGCCTGCGGCAGCCCCTCCTGCCCATCGGTCTTGCCCTGGGACTTGCAGAGGACCTGGTGTTGCCCTGGCTGCGCTGCAGCCTCTCCTGGACAGGGGCTGCAATGGGGGCCCTGTCCGATGCCTCCCACCTGCCATGGCTCCAGGCGGGCGGGGAACNTTCCAAAGAGCCATGCCTGTCCTCAGACACCCACCCGGCGTGTCCTGTCTCAGGTGTGTGATGGTCCCCTCTGCCCTCCGTTTGTCTTTTCAAGCTGACTCAGAAAATTGACAATGTTGAGACCAGCTGGGCCCTGGGGGCCATCTTCCATTACATCGACTCCCTGAGCAGGTGGAAGAATACAGCCACATAGCAGCCAGGCTGCCTGTCCCTGCCCCTGGTGGACCCCCTCCATCCTGGACGTGATTTCAACCCTGAGTAGCCACAGCGAGAGCCGTGACCCCTCCCTGCGGCCTGCAGCCTGCGGCAGCCCCTCCTGCCCATCGGTCTTGCCCTGGGACTTGCAGAGGACCTGGTGTTGTTCCATCCTGGACGTGATTTCAACCCTGAGTAACCACAGCGAGAGCCGTGACCCCTCCCTGCGGCCTGCGGCCTGCGGCAGCCCCTCCTGCCCATCGGTCTTGCCCTGGGACTTGCAGAGGACCTGGTGTTGCCCTGGCTGCGCTGCAGCCTCTCCTGGACAGGGGCTGCAATGGGGGCCCTGTCCGATGCCTCCCACCTGCCATGGCTCCAGGCGGGCGGGGAACTAGACAGGGCCATGGGCACATGCTGAGGTGGGAGCTCTGTAGCCGCCAGCCCCTCCCCATCCCTTCCATCCGCAGGGCTGTGGCTGCTGTTCTGCGAGTCCCTGTGATGGGTCTTATTTTGTCTCTTAGCCCCTGTTGGTTTCCTCCCTGAAGACAGACCTCCGCCTTCCCTGGGAGTTTAGGGAGGTTGTACTGGCTGCTTTTAGGGGAGCCCAGTGGGAGCCGTCGTGCCCTCGAGGACAGCAGGTCCGGGTGGGCCTTTGTGAACTCAGGACTTGAGCGTGTTTATCTCCTCCCCGGGTGTGGACATGTGAACTCCACTTGGAGACGTCGACTCGCCTCAACCTTGTGTGGGTTGGGGTTCGCTGATGGGTGGAGAGGATGCTATGAGTAGGTGGAGGGGCCGGGGACACACCTCTCCACGGACCTCGTGTGCCCAAGTGTGAGCGGATGCTGGGCGTGAGCTGCTGTAAAAATGTCTGTGGCTGTCTCTGTCGTGTGGGTGCCAAGTGCTTGTGTAGAAACTGTTCTGCCCCCTTTTCTGGACATGACTCCATGTCCCAATGAATGTATCACTGCCGTGAGCCATTTGCAGTGGGCAATGTCAGAAGACACAGCCCAGCCACAGGTCAGCTGAGCCACAGACCCCAGAGCCACGCTCCTGTGGCGTCTCTGGCCACCATACACCCACTGTGGACCAACCCTGCCCTCCTCCGTGGGCCGTGAGAGCCCTGGGCTGAGTGCGTTCTGCTTGGCATGGTTTGAGGCCCGATGCCTGAGCCCGCCGTCGTTCCTCCAGTGAATGTATAGTACACGCAGTAAGCTGATGCTCGTGTGTTCCACTCAGAATAAAAGGTTTACAAGAGTTGCTTCTCCTCTGCGATTCTTCTCGTTGAACAACAGAAACATTCATCCGCTTGGCACCTGAGATCCCTCTTTACTAACTGTAAGTCCCGCTAGTTTCATGACGAGACAACAGCTGCGGAAGGCCGCACGCGGGCCCAGGCTATTGAGGGAGTCTGGCCAGGGGAACCCCCAGCAGTCTGCGAGGGCAGAGCTCCTCCTCCCCTCCTGGGACAGTGGCTGCAGCATGGCCAGGTGAGGCTCTGGGCACGTCAGCTCCTTGGGCAACTCACAAGTCCCCATGCCACAGTGTGTTCAGCAAGGGTCTGGCTTTAGTCTGGGACCGCCCCAAAGGGATTGAATGCCAGGGAAGGAAGCGCAGGCTGACCCCTGCCCAGAGCCTGTCTCGGGACCAACTGTGACAGGAGGACAGCCCTCAGACCTGCCAGGGCTGCAGCGGGAGCAGAGCAGACGCGAGTGCTGTAAAGGCACGTGGCGGAGCCTTGTGCAGAGGAGGAGGGGCTCTTCAGGCAGGAGGGCAGCTTTAAGGCTCACCTCCCAGAGCTGGAGCTTCACATTGGGCAGAGGCGGGACAGGGATCCATCCGAAGGCCTTCTGATGTTTGAGCAGGTCTATGCCTGCAGGACCCTCAGGAAAGGGAGGGCTTCCACCCTGCAGAGGGCGTCAGTACAACCCCAACTCCAGAGGCTGGAGGGAGGCCCTTAGAGGCGAACGAACCTCTGAATGAAGCTGGGGCCAGCTATTCCCTGTCCAGTGGTCTTGCCAAAACGTAAACCTTGGGGAAGACACAGGCCAGAAAGGACAAAGCAGGAAAGACGCTTTTTCAAGTAACATATCACATTAGAACTAAAGCTGCAAAGCTTTCACTTGAGGGCATGAAAAAAGCCATCCTCCTCCCACCCCTCACCACCCCACCTCGGCCGGATCCCCACCGGCCCCTTTCCTTCCATAATATCTAGCAGTTTAAATATTTAAACAACTCCAGAGGCAAAGAATTAAAGATGCATGAAGGTAAAGAAGGCTGGTGATCTCACATCTGAGAAAGGGTACATGACTGGAAGGCTCCCAAAAGAGCGCCAAATAAGTCATGGAATATTTTTGGGCCCAGCAAAATATGCAAGTCATTTCACTCGAAGTGTCTTTTGTGATAATAAGGAAGGCTCTTGTTTGTTAAAAATAGCTACATATGCACATCCTAGCACATTGTAAAAGAAGCAAATGGGGGTGCAGTGAGAATTTCACCCCTTTCCGAGGACGTGTGCATCTGTGCTCAGACAGGTCTCCCCCGTACACCTCATACTCCACCTCCCGCCCCATGTCCCACACTGTTCTCAAACACTGCATGCTCCTGCAGTGGCTGGTGGCATCTCATGTCTGAATGACAGGACCCCACATGTCAGGTTGTATATAGTCCCACATCCACAAGCCGTCCTGATATTGCTGGATTGAAGGGCATGAGCATTTTACATTGTAGTGGACTCTGCCAGATTGCCTTCAATCCCACTGCAAGCATTGGTGCCGGCTTACCTGCACCCTCACCAACGAGCCGTCCTGATATTGCTGGATTGAAGGGCATGAGCATTTTAAATTGTAGTGGACTTTGCCAGATTGCCTTCAATCCCACTGCAAGCATTGGTGCCGGCTTACCTGCACCCTCACCAACACAGCTACCACCAAATGGTTTGATCTTGGCTGTTCTTGGCAGATTAAAAAAAAGGTTACTGGTAATTCTGGTATGCATTGATCTAATTCATCTCGTATGTCTAAGACTTGTGTTCTTTTTTGTGTGAAACATCGGTTCATGTCCCTTGCCAATTTTTCTATAAGATTGTGGTCGTTTTCATGTTCATTTGAGGTGATTTTCATTTATTGAAGAAATTAGCTCATTGCAATGGAATGTGTTCAAATTTTTCCCCATTTTATTATTAATTTTTGACTTTGTGGTTTTTTCAATGTCCAGCGTTACTATTTTTATTTTGATTGATCAAGTTCATATTTATATGCCACTTTATTTTATTTTGCAACTTCCAGATTGTGTCATAATTAGAAAGGCATCCCCACCAATAATTTTAAAAGTTATATTATTTTAAGAAGTCCTGGTACATACTTTTGAATACCCTGAGGTGCAATAAATCATTATTTCAGGGTGGATTTGACTTTTAGAACCATTGGAAGACAAGTGTGGTGTTCAGACTGGGGTGATACCATTTTTGGATAAAATTAAGGATGACTATAGAGTGATGAGGCAATTCCGAGAGGGAATTTTAGAGGCATGCAGAATCATGGCAGTGTCAGTAATAGAAATGTGGAATCTCCCAAAGCAAGAGCTTTGAGAAACCACAGTGGGATGCATTTCTGATAGAGTTGTTCTAGAGTGACTTCTCTGGAGACCACGACATGTGAGGAGTGTTTGGAACAACTGGGGCTGTTTGAGTGGATGAGAATGTGACAGGTGACTTCATTGCTGTCTGACGGACTGTCACACACCAGCCTCTGCTCTGTCACTCTGGGCATGGGTGGAAGTCACAGGGAAGCTGTTTGCAGGTTTCTAACTGTCTAACAGTGGAAGATATTCTGGAATAAGGTGGGTTCTTCATCAGATGAGTCTCTTCCTTGCTGGCATTTCAGGGATGTTGGAGAAGGGGTTCTGCACTGAGTGAGACGTTAGAACCAGGCACTCGCAGCCACACTCCACGCTCGTCAGATTCCTGTTCTCACCTTGAAAATTATGAAAATCATGGACAGGAAAGCATGCCGCATATACCTCCCTAGATTCTAAGTTAAGACGCCAGTACCTTGCATCTGTGGAGCGCTTGCTGTGCATCCCGCGTGGTGCCGACGGTGGTGCTTTGTGCGGTCAGTGACTTAATTGTCACATTAGCCCCTGAGGCAGCTGCTGTTCATCTCCATCCTGCTCCCAAGAAGCTGTCCTAAAGGGGCTAAGGGGACTTTTCCAGGGTTAGCAAGTGAGGAGATGAAGGGGCCACCACTCAGACCCAGGTCTAGAGGCTTCCTAACCCCAAAGTAAAAGTGTCTCCAGAGGAATTTTTCCTGGTCACATCAGGCCTTGTGCTTGTTCATCAAAGGTGGGGCTCTCCGCTGAAGAATCATTCATCACAGTAATAATGAGCTTTGTCATGTTTAGGAAAACAGTTATACAGTAAAGAGAAATAATAATCACCTCCAAGTCTACCTGCCCCTTTATCATTCTGACAGCCTCTGATTCTTTTCTTTTCCTGTGTTAGTGATTTGATGGATAAAGATTTCTGTTTAAGAACTTAAGTGCAGCTTTGTAAATCTTAGTGTCTGCCACTGCATAGTCCAGATTTACATAGTTCAGAAACAGACATCCCCCTATAAGGCATCCTGTCTTGAGAAGCCTCTCTAAAGGTCAGAAGAGCACCAGAGCCAAGTTTTTATGGCACAGAACACAGGGTGGAGGGATGGCTCTAAATATAGCTTCTAAGGGGCTGGAGGTGCTCAGCATGTACTGCTGTGTGGTTCCTGCAGAACTGCCTGGGGAGGACAGCTGAGAATCGGATGGTTTTGCAGATGAAAATGCCAAAGCTTGGCAGCCTTCAAGGACTCTGTTTTTTGTTTTGTTTTGTAAAGACTTTTTTTTTTTTTTCCTTTTTGTCTTTTTCCGTGTCCGGCAACGGATCGCAACCCTCAGTGTCGCCCCCGTACCGGACCAGGACCGGCAACGGGATCGCAACCCTCGGCGTTGCTCCCGTGCCTCGCTCAGCCAGCGAGCGGGAACCGGTCTGTATGTGGGATCCAAACCCTCGGCGGGAGCGCCACCGCGCTTCCCAAGCAGCGCACTATCGCAGTGCGCCACCGGGCCGGCCCCCTAAAGACTTGTTTTAAAGCAACAGAAAGAGATAAGCCAAGGTTTTCAATTTTCTGTGGATTAAGAGATTTCAAAAGACATTTTTAATGACTCTCCAAACATTGGAATATTATTCAGCCTTAAAAAGGACTGAAGTTCTGATCCATGCAACAACATGAGTGAACCTTGAAAACATGCTAAGTGAAAGAAGCCAGACACACAAAAAAACACATACTGTATGATTCCATTTATATGAACTGTCCAGAATAGGTAAATCTGTAGAGACAGAAAGCAGATTGGTGATGACCAGGGGCTGTAACTGCTATTTGGTCCAGTTACAGGGTTTTTGGGGGGGATGATGAAAAGGTTCTACACTTAGGTTATGGTGATTGTTGTACAATTCTGAAAATATGCTAAAAACTACTGAGGGCTGGCCAGTTAGCTCAGTTGGTTAGAGCACTACCTTGTAACACCAGGGTCAAGGGTAAAAAACAAACAAATAAAAACAATTGAATTGTGCACTTTAAATGGATAACTTAATGGAATGTAAATTATTTGTTTTTTGGTTTTTTAGAACTCTTGACCTTGGTGTTATCAGCACCACCCTCTACCGAGTGAGGACCATGTAAGTTATATTTTAGTAAAGCAGTTTGAAAAATGAAGGCTTGAACTCTAGGAAAACAACACTCTAAACACAATAGGTTTCTCCTCAGAAAGTTCCCTTCAGTAAAGCTTAACCTCATCTTATCGTATTGTTTTGTTCTTGTCTGAGGCCACATGACCCTTTCTTGTTTTCTCCACCCTGAGACTGTTTTCTGTCTTGTCCTGCTCTCACCTTAGAGCTGGAGAAATGAGTCAGGCCCACTGTTGGCTGGTGAACCCTGAATCCGACAGGTGCTTGGCTAGTGGGGAGGGGCTGTCACCCGCCTTCTGACCGACAGAGGTTGTTCCAAGACGGAAGGAGAACTGGAGCTCCTGACGATGGGGCTGCGGGCCTGCCCGCTCCCACCCCAGCACTTCCTCGTGGAGCCAATGGTCCTGTTCTGTTTTCTCAATGGGCGCGCCTGCTGGGGCTCCACCCAGCCCAGAGGACAAAGTTAAGCCGTAGGGAAAAGCAAATAGGCTTTGGAGAGAAGCCTTCCTTTACTTCCCTCTTGGACTGGTCCCCACAC